TCATCAATGAACCGATATGTAAAAGCATATCGGCGAGCAGCAGAGGGATCCACACGCTGCAGGTTGTCCACGTACTGCGCCTCATCCCAATAGAGTGTAAGATTGGCAATCTCAGGACCAGCGTTTGTACCCATAGGGATACCGACATCTTGATGACGAACAAGGCCATCCGCTGTATACAAATATGTATTTGTAACAATAAACCGAAGATGTTGAAGAATGTCAGAAACAGAAAGAGTGTGGTCACCGGGCTGAACGATCGGGGTTCCCTGGGCTGACCGCCGAACGTTCAGGCGGCTCGCGTTCGGGGTCCGAACCCGAAGGGGTTCGGCCCCCGCCAAAAAATATTTTGGGGCCTAAATATTATTGTTTTTTTTTTTGTTCGTTTGTTTCTGAGTTCTTTATGATGTGAGGTACATGCCTAAAATTTTTAAGGCATTTTGCTAAACCAAAGAAAACTGAAAAATCGCCAAAGACGGCGGTGTCAAAACGTGCTCGCCCACTCGCTATTTTGTCTTTTTTTCTCTCTTTTCACTTTTTGTTTTCACTTCATTTCGGGGCCTAAAAAAATATATAATTTTTTTTATCTTTTTCATAAAGTTTTGTATCATGTGACATACACATCTATAAATTTTCAGGTCATTTGGCTAACCAACAAAAAAATGAAAAACGTGTCAAACACGTGCTCGCCCACTCACTAATTTTATTTCTCTTTTCATTTTTTCTTATTTTTTATTATATTTTTATTATTATTTGTTTTCCGTATTTCATTTTTATTTCAAACTTGGTAACGAATTTGGACTTAATGCTGAGGCAAATGTTGTTCAGTTTATTTTTCTGCATAACATTTTGAAACGGTTTCACCCAGTTGACCTGACATTGCAGTCACAGAGATTCGATCCCTAGACCTGTGCCGCAACCCTGTACATTGCACCCGTGTGCTGAGTGAGATTCGATCCCTAGACCTACCCTATACCTGTACATAGACCCTGTGTGCTCAGTAGGATTCGATCCCTAGACCTGTTCCACATCCCACATTAGTCTGTAGTTTGGGCAGTAGGACTTGATCCCTAGGTCTGTAGATTAGCAGCTAGGCCTGTTACCGTTAGGCCTAGGAAGGTCTGTTCTAGAAGTCTCTATCTGGGTCTACCGAGGCCTAGAGTCTCTATCTGAGTCTACTGAGGCCTTGAGTCTCTATCTGAGTCTACTGAGGCCTAAAGTCTGTATGTCGTAGGTCCCTGTAGGCAGTCCAGTCAGCAAGTACCAGGGGTAGGGGCGGCTGCACGTGGGGAAGGTTCTGGAGCACGCTGTGGGTTTCACACACGTTTCGGCCCAGAAGGCGACACGTTTTATACAGGCCTTCTGGGCCAAAACGTGTGCGAAACCCACAGCGTGTGAAGGCGAAACGTCTGGAAACAGTTCGCGGGGCCATACGTTTTGTTTTGGCCCAGGCCCACACGTTTGGAGGCAGGGCCCGGGTACCTCCAGAGAGGTATGAATAAAGAGGCAGTGTCCAGCCATTCATTCGTTTGCCTGAGTGCCATGCGGAAGACCTGCCTTGGTATCTTGTGCGTGGAGGACTGCAGGTGGCCGGAGAAGAAGTGGGCTGTGAAGAAGACAGACAGCGGCCATAGCGAACCAGCAGGAGAGGGACACGGCGGCCATAGCTAGGAGGAAGACGACGGTGGACATAGCCGCCCAGCTGTTGGTGCAGACAGGGTATACAGAGTGTGTGTGTCTGTGCAGCATGGACATTCAGGGAGATCCTCGTACATGCATACATGTGAGAGTGAGGGAGAGTGAGGCTGGTGGTAGAGACAGTGTTCGGCAGCCATAGCCGCAAGTTGTACAGTTGTTTTGAACAGAGTTTAAGAGCAAGTTCATTGTTATTTCTGAGTTGGAAGAGTTTGGTTTGCCATCGGTTCTCAAGTGTGCATGTTGTGAGCAAGTCCAGAGTTGAGTCTGATTGCAATTTCTTTTTTTCCTTTTTCTTTTTTTTTTCTTTTTTTTTTCTTTTTTTTTTCTTTTTTCTTTTTTTTTGGGTCCGCGTTCGGCCCAAACGGCCGAACCGAATGCATCCACAAGGGGGCCCGAACGTTCGGGCGTTATATACCATCAAACATATATATTTGACAATATATCTATATGGTGGATATATACGGTGCACAAGGCAGTTCTCTATGACGATATATATCGTCAAAACAGAGCTGCCCGGTAAACCGTACGTAGGCAGAGAGGGAGGGAGAAGGAGAAGAGGACAACAAACGAGGGGCTGTGACAAACTGTTTCGTCGGACTGTTCCACCGACTCATCAATCAGTAGAGGCTGAACCCTCCTATACAGTCTGCAGAATCCCCTAACCTTATGATTACACAGTAAGTGATAATAATCCACCTTCCTTAACCGTGAATCTGGTTAAAATCAACGACTGTGCAACAACTGATACCCCTCCGAGGAGGTGGGGACCACCAACCACTGCCCTCAAGGTACCTGTGACGAAAACAAAAGCAGCCGATGATCACTCACCCACCCACACCAGATGGAAAACTCTACAGACTGCAAGGGGGGTCACACCCCATCACAAGCTAAGCAAGCAAAACACCCAAGAAACAAAGGAAGGTCTGTCACAGCCAGAAAATACACTCCAGAGTCCAGAGTCCACACATTTATATTTATATTTACATTTATATTTATATTTAGGTAGGTACGATGATGAGGTTGTCATGGCAAATAGCCAGATAGCTAGAGACACTAACCCACATAGACAAGCTGTCGAGCTATCCACCACATGTGAGCCACTCACTGACTATTCACAAAGCAAAGCCAGATAGCCAGATAGACAGATAGACAGATAGACAGATCCTCCGAAAGATTATCGAGCAAGATTGACACAAAAATATCGAGATTGACACAAGAATAGCACTTCTCTCCACCAGATGTAGGCCACGAAATGACTAGATAGATAGATAGATAGATAGCCGGATACACTTCTCAAATGCCTGTTCAAAAGACGATCGAGCAAGATTGCCACAAGAATATGACTATCTCTCCAGAGAACCAGATCCAAAAGAAATGCCACACGCTATCTGGAAGCTATCCCTGTGTGTCTGCTATCTGGCTATCGGCTATTCATGGTGGTTATCTGGAAGCTATCCCAAAAGAAATGCTATCCCAAAAGAAAAGCCACAAACTATCCAGACATCCAGATCCAAAAACAACCAGGACTCCGTTTTTCTTTTGCTTTTTTTTCCTTTCTTTTTTCTTTTTTTTCTTCTTTTATCTTTTTTTCTTTTTTTTCTTTTTTTTCCTTTTTCGTTCTTTTTCTTTTTTAAATCACCGTTGATTAAACCAGGTCTCCGATCTGGTGGCTGTCAAGTATCGAGAAGATACATCAGAACGATCCTCTTTTTTTTTTTTCTTCTTCTTTTTCCCCCCCTAAGGTCCGTAAGGACACGGCTTCCCCCGAACACAACCCACCCTCATCATGACTGTATACGACACATAGCTAGTATACATTCATGACCAGGGTACGTTGTATCCGGAGGAAGACGGTAGTGAGAACCCGCGCTACTTCCCCCATCGCCCCCCCCGCCCCGCCGCCCTCCCCTTCCTTTCGGAGGCCATTTAAAAAGGAGGCGGGAGGGGAGGGGGCCGGGGCGGGGGGGGGAGGAGGGGGGCGGAAGATTGAAAATTTGAAAGGGGTTACCTTTCTCGGCCTTTTGGCTATTATCAAGTGCAGTATCTGCCCTGATCAGTCAAGAAAAAAAAGGAAAATAAATTGGAAAGGGGAGAGAAGAGAGGAGGGGCAGACGGAGAGAAGGAGAGGGAGGGAAAGGAGCGGAAGGCGGAAGGGTACAAGAGGACGCGACCAAGAAGCTCTAATAAGAAATCCGTTGTTTTTTTTTTCCTAATAAGGCATCCTACTATCAAGATGGAGAAAGAAAACCATCTCAGAGGGCATAGAAGCTTGAGAAAATCACCCAGAGAGACTCTCTCTCTCTCTCTCTCTCTCTCTCTCTCTCTCTCTCTCTCTCTCTCTCTCTCTCTCTCTCTCTCCCCAAGGTCTCCACGTGTGTTTGTCCTCATGTAAATGTGTGTGTGCGGAGCACGACTCGCTGTCTGTGGGGGTAGAGAACCGTCGGTCTTCGGGAGCAGTGCCAGACGGTTGCAGGCCTCTCTCTCTCTCTCTCTCTCTCTCTCTCTCTCTCTCTCTCTCTCTCTCTCTCTCTCTCTCTCTCTCTCTCTCTCTCTCCCCAAGGTCTCCACGCGTGTTTGTCCTCATGTGAATGTCTGTGCGTGTGCGGAGCACGACTCGCTGTCTGTGGGGGTAGAGAACCGTCGGTCTTGGGGAGCAGTGCCAGACGGTTGCAGGCCTCTCTCTCTCTCTCTCTCTCTCTCTCTCTCTCTCTCTCTCTCTCTCTCCCCCCAAGGTCTCCACGTGTGTTTGTCCTCATGTGAATGTCTGTGTGTGCGGAGCACGACTCGCTGTCTGTGGGGGTAGAGAACCTCCATGACAGACGGTGGCAGGGGCAACCTCAGACGATGAAGGATAAAAATACGACAGGGGAAAGATGGGAATAAAAAAACAGAATTGAAAGAAAGAAAAAAGAGAAAAAGGGGTTGGGACAAAACCCACCATGCATGTATACCTTTCTCGGCCTTTTGGCTAAAAATAGATCAAGTGCAATGTATCTGCTCTGATCAGTTTAATATTTGATCCGTGGTCCATCGGACCACATTAAAAAAAAAAAAAAAAACAATAATAAAAAAAAAAACACCATGCACACGAGCTGGACCATTACGGCAAAAGGCAGACGGAACGAGGACGTGATCGACTGAATCTGGCGGTCCTTGCGGCCAGATACTGAATCCAGGTCACGGAAGGTCAGAAACAGGCACGGACGAGGTGGGAGGAGGATTCGAGAAGCAAAAGCGGGTGAGAGAACAATAGGAGAAGAGAGAGAGAAGGAGACGGGACGGAGAGAGAGAGAGAGAGGGCAAGAGAAAGAGAGAAAGAGAGAAGGAGAGAAGGGGAGGGGAGGGGAGAGAGGGAGAAGGGAGAAGGGAGATAGTGGAAAATCCGAGAAACACCCTGACCTCATCGCGACAGAGAAGCAGTAGGAGAGAGGGAAAGAGAGAGGGAGAGAGAGAGAGGGAGAGAGAAGAGGGGGAGAGAGAGGGAGAGAGGGAGAGAGAGAGGGAGAGAGGGGGAAGGAGACAGAGAGAGAGAGGGCACGAACGTAAACAGAGGGAGAGAGAAGAGGTGACCGCGAGAGGAAGAGGGGTGAAAAAGAGCATTAGGGTCTACACACCACAGGGACTTCTGCAGGATTTAGCATCTGGCTTCAATCCCGGTCAGATTCATTCGAGAAATTCTTAGTCAGAGAATACCCTAAGGTGGGTATATCAGAAAAGTGCGGGGTTCTGAGAACGAGAGGGAGAGGTAAAGAAGAGAAGAAAAAATTTAGATACGAGAGAGAGAGAGGAGAAGAGGGACGGGAGAAGGAGAGAGAGAGAGAGAGAGAGAGAAGAGTGGACTGCTTAGGAGAAGAAGTACGCGAGCAAGGAGACGTAGAAACGGAAAAAAAAAAAAAGACACCGACAACGAATGTCCACAGATCCACAGAGAGAGAGAGAGCGAGAGAGAAAGAGAGAGAAACAGAGAGAAACAGAGAGAAAGAGAGAAAGAGAGAAAGAATGGGAGAGAGAGACGTCAGTAAACGCATAGAGGAGTAGATTAATCATCGCTTCTTTTGCCCGTTCGCCACACACATACGCAAACAGAGAAAGAGAGAAAAAGAGAAAAAGAGAAAAAGAGAGAAAGAGAGAAAGAGAGAGAGAGAGAGAGAGAGAGAGAAAGAGAGAGAGAGAACGTAGTAGGCAATTTGCCGAAGAGGAGAGAGAGAGAGGAGGGACGGGAGAAGGAGAGAGAGAGAGAGAGAGAAGAGTGGACTGCTTAGGAGAAGAAGTACGCGAGCAAGGAGACATAGAAACGGGAACAAAAAACAAAAAACGACAACGAATGTCCACAGATCCACAGAGAGAGAGAGAGAGCAAGAGAGAGAAAGAGAGAGAAAGAATGGGAGAGAGAGACGTAAGTAAACGTATACAGGAGTAGATTAATCATCGCTTCTTTTGCCCGTTCACCACACATACACAAACAGAGAAAGAGAGAGAAAGAGAGAAAGAGAGAGAGAGAGAGAGAGAGAAAGAGAGAGAGAGAACGTAGTAGGCAATTTGCCGAAGAGGAGGGGCGAATTTAAAAAAAGAAAACCAAAAAAAGGAGAAAAAAAAGATGACGAGAGGGGAAAGAGAGAGAGAGAGCGAGAGGGGAAAGAGAGAGAGAGAGAGCGAGAGGGGAAAGAGAGGAAAAGAGAGAAAGAGAGAGAGAGAGAGAGAGAGCAAGTAGTAGGGAACTTCCAGAAGAGGAGGAGGGGAAAATTTAAAGGGAAAAAAAAAGTCAGCTGACCTTGTTCTGAGCTAAGACGGCTAGCATTGGAGCCGCCCGTAAGCGGAGAGACAGGACGAAGCGGCGAATAAGATCGCTCAGCTCGTTCATCTGGACTCACGGGATGTCCAAAGCAGGAATGATCTCCCCACACCCCTCCCTCCCGAAGCTTCTCTCCCTCTCCTCTGCTCTCCTCGTCTCCGTTTATCTGAACTCCCTCCCTTCTCTCTGTCCACTCGTCGGCAGATTCCTGCATACCCAAAACAATAGATCAGCAAATCTCTCTCTCTCTCTCTCTCTCTCTCTCTCTCTCTCTCTCTCT